CTGATCATAGACCACTTCTCTGTGTTATAAATAACTATTACTATGTTTGTGGTTTCTCTTTTAGGTTTCAAAATATATGGACCCTTCACCCTGAATTCCTCAAAGAAATTGACAAGGTCTAAGTTATTGATCATGTTGTCAACCCTTGGGTCAATCTCTGGAAACTTCAAAAAAAGGTGGCTTCACATCTTAGAGGCTGGAACTGGAAGAAATTTGGCAATATACAGGACAACTTAAAAGATGCTTAAGAGGAAGTATTCAAGTTGGAAGCAGATTTTTTATCGGGTTTAACTTCTGAAGTTGAGTTACACAGAGCAAATGAGACGCTACTATCACAAATTAACTATTATGATACATTCCTTAAGAAAAAATGCTGTCATCACCAAGTTCATTGAGAGGGACACAAACTCAAGTTACTACCATGCTTGTATTAATTTTAAAAGAAAATGCAACATAATCTTATCTATTTCTAATTCAGTGATGCACAAACTTACAACTACTAAGGATATTGCAATGGATGTTGTGGTTTATTTTCAAAATCTTTTCACTAGCAGGCTATCTTCCAGACCTCCCATTGAGGAACATTTATTTTCATACTGCAGAGAATATGTTCAAATGCTTGACATTACATAGGTTCTATAGGAAGCAGAAATTAAATTAGCTCTTAATTCCATAGATGAGAAGAAATAAGCAGGCACTCAGCATATTTATACACCTAAAATATATAATATTTTTTATCTAGTATTTTTATACACATTTATATATATATTTTTGAGATATTGCACTTTAATAAGAGGTATTTATGTGTTTTTCTTACAAGTACAATCAAATGGATGAAAAATGCTAAAAGAAGTGAAGAAGGGTCAAATTTGGAGCAAAAATGAAGAAAGATGCAAAAATAAACTGGATTCGCGCCTATGTGCTAGAGAGCTGTGCCTAAACGTCAGGTACCTCGCGCTTAAACACTATAAGTAGTTATGTGATGATTTATTAAATTTGAATGAATTTTTTAAGAGGTGTTTGAAGCAACCCTTAGTAAAAAAGTGAGAAATATCCTACGGACATGAAAATTCATTCAATTGGCTTTTAAGGAGGCAACTTCTAGAAGATTCATTGAATGGAGACACCTTTTTGAAGAGACACCAAGGCACCTCTTTGGTTTTTATAAAAAAAGACTTAGATTATCAAAGAGAAGAGGCCATCCACTCATCAGATTTTACAACCATCATTCATCCAAGTAACCGCCGTCCATCGTTGCCGTTGCCGATGTCAGCCATCTTCTTTTTATTTCGAGTGTTAGTTTGTATTGTGAGCGAAGGAAGAAAATTTAAAGGAACTTCAACATATTTGATGGAGAGGATTTGAGATAAGTGTTTATCCTTGTCACTACACTTTATTTTAATCTAGATTTCTTGTTTGTATGCATGATTTCTACTTTCAAACTCAAGTGTCTACTTTCAAACTCAATTTCTACTTTCAAACTCAAGTGTGGTTGTGTTTTCTCAATGGATTCTGAGTAGTTTTCTTTAACTTTTTCCTAAAAATGATAAGTGATTAAGTGTTTAAAGAATGTTTTGTGAAGTATTAGAATTCAATATTTGAAGAAGTTATGATGATTTGAAACTTTACACTTCATTTACTTCTTGATGACCAATTAAGATGTTAATAACTGTTGTAAGAACATGTAAAATCTGAGATGGTATTGTCTCAGTAAACAAATGGTTAGAATCACATATTGATTTTGTGAATGAGAATGTAGTTCATGGGGTTGAATGCCAATAAATAAGGAAATAAACTTTTCAAGGGTGTAGAATTAGAGGACTTTACAGTGATAGGCTAAAGCCCCCAATTTGATTTATAGTTTTAGGTTTTGATATGAGATGTTAGCCCCCAGGTGGAGGGAGAAGAGGTAACTCTATAGTGAGAGCCGGTAACTTCCCTACCTATCCGGTCTTCAAGACTATTCAAACTATAGATTAACTAATATTTTTTATGGCATCTCTAGTAAGGATGAATAATATAATTGCTCTTATTTGGACAATACATTTAGCATACTTCCACGATAGAATTTTTATACTTATTATTGATTCATGATAAGAAAAAAATATTTTATTTATATAGTCTTCATTTTGTAAGTAGTTAGTTAAGTTAATTAGTTGCCATAATTATTTTCATAAATCAAAAATTACAAAAAGAATCAAATTTTTATTCCTATTATAGCATCTTAAGTTTAAGTAAGAATATTTTGTTAAGTAGATTTTTGTCATCTAAAGTTTCTAAATTTCTAAAGTGTATATTGCTATTTTCCCTGTGGGTTCGATATTCAGAACTTAATCGAAAAGTCCTATATTTGTTTGCTTCAAAGTGAAAGATTTAACTAGCTTTTGCTTTAGATTAAGTTTTTGGCTTTGTTGCAAATTGAGAATCACTATTAAGAAGATTAAATATATAATCACATACTTCGCATTTTACATCTATATATAAAGTCAGGATCAATTCTCCTCCAGTTTCTATAAGGCAACTTGGTTTAAAATCGCTGATAAAGTTACTCTAGTTGTCCAGGACTTCTTCAAAGGTGTGGAGCCTCCCAAATACTTCACTGCATCTACCATCACATTAATTCCTAAGAATAAGCCTAGAAAAACTTGGAGGACTTCAGACCTATCAGTCTCACTAAATTTCAAAGATTAGTCTAATTTGTGTTGACCAGGTTAACTTAGGTTGACCCGTGTATGTTTGGATTTGATTTAGGTTGACCTGGGTTCACTTAGGTTGACTTGAATAAGTTTTGGTTTTATTTAGGCTAATGCGGGTTTACTTGGGTTGACTCGGGTAGGTTAGGTTTTTATTTGGATTGACTCAGTTTGACTTGGGTTGACCTGGGTAGGTTAGGTTTTGATTTAGGTTGACTCGGGCAGAGTTGGATTGACCCGGGTAGGTTAGGGTTTAACCTGAGTTAACCCGAGTTAAATTGGGTCGACTCCGGTAGGTTTAGGTTTGATTTGAGTTAACTTAACCTGGATAGGATAGGAATTTTTTTGGGTTTAACTGGTTAGGTTTCATTTTGATTTGGTTTGACCCAGGTAGGTTAGGGTTTGATGACGGGTGTTTTGGGTCATTTAGGTAAGTTTAGAGTGTTTTGAGTCATTTGGGTAGTTTTGAGGACGCTTTGGGTCGTTTGGGTAATTTCAGAGTGTTTTGCATGATTTGCATAGTTTCAAGGTGTTTTGTCATTTGTGTTGTCTTAGAGTGTTTGGGTCATTTAGATAGTTTGGAGTGGCATGGGTCATTTGGGTAGTTTCGGGGTGTTTTAAGTTATTTGAGTTAGGTTGGGGTAGAACTGAGTTAGGTCAAGTCTAGGTTGTGTTAGGTCTGGGTTGGGTCAAACCTGAGTTAGGTTTTAGGAATTGGGTTAAGTTGGGGTAGGCCTGAGCTGGGTCGGGTTTAGGATGAGGCAGGTCTTGCTTGGGTCAGGCATGGGTTAAGTTTTAGGGTTTGGGAGGTTGGGCAAGATTTGACTGAGTCGGGTCTAGGTTGAGTTAGGTCTGGTTGGGTCAGACTTGGGTTTGGGTTTTAGGGTTTGGGTTTGGTTGTGTTAGACCTGAGCTGGGTCAGGTTTAAATTGGGTCATGTCTGGGTTGGGTCAGAGCTAGGTTAGGTTTTAGGGTTTGGATTAGGTTGGGCTAGACCTGAGCTGGGTCGGGTTTAGGTTGGGTCTAACCTGGGTTAAGTTTTAAGCTTTGGGTTAAACTATTTTAGGGATTAGGATTAGGTTGGGTTTGGGTCAGCTTAAGTCGAACCCAAGCCTAAGCCTAATCCAAGGCTATTGAGTTAACTTAAACTAGATTATTAACTCAAACACTTAAATTAAAATAATTAATTTCAAAAGTAAGAAAATAAAAAGAAAAAGAGCAAATACTTACAAAACGATGGCTGACCGGAGACCACAGACTGAAGAAGGCACTTCGAGAAGAAGAAGTGTTCATTGGTTTGATGTTCCATTACTTCACTGATTACTTCACACCCCCACAAGAAGCACACAAAGCTACTCGAGAGGGATGATTAGCTGCCTTTTATAGGTGGCGGCGGCTTTCTTGGGCCATCGATCACATTGGAGATCGAATGTTTGGATTACTCCGGTGGTTTCTGCAAATGTCCATAGTTGCCAGATGTTTTCAGCCGTCCCATAAAATGGACGACGGTGATGAAGATTCATGGGCAAAGGCCACAGATCAGTGGCATAGAATTATGGGTGCGACCATGCCCACGCCTAGGCGTGGTCACACCCCATACAAACGTGACCACACAAAACCAAAAAGAACATAATGTGCTGTTATTAGGGTTTGGAGACACTGTTGTCTTTCTGAGAGCTCCATATGACTAGGGAAGCTACATGTGAGCCAAAAATGAATCTAATCTTGTTCAAATAAGTATAAAACCTAAATAAAAAATAGTTAGAAGCACATTTTAATCATAAGTGAACCAGATTTGAAATCAATTCAGTTCTAACTAATATTTTCCACAAAGGTATTTCAAAATGCTAGGTGCTTATATAATAGTGCTATTTTATTTTGAAATAATTTTTTTGGACATATTTTTTCAATGCACCAAGGACCAAGTAAATTAGGCCAATTAGAACTATTTTGAATTATATTTCAATTCCCTAAATATTATAATAAAGAATAAAATAAAATTGAAGAAACTATGATGAATATTTTTTTTTTAGCTATTGCCAAAAGAAATAGCTAGAACCCACTTTCAGTTCATTTAACATAATTATTTTTATTTGTTGTGTTTTATTAAAAAAAAAAACATTGAGACTTTCAGTTCATTTAACATAATTATTTTTATTTGTAGTGTTTTATTAAAAAAAAAAACATTAATTCTCTTTATTTGCTTCGATATTTATTTTTATTTTATATTGTATTAGAAGCAACGAGGATAACGACAGAGTTTAAAGTATCGATGCACTAACCTTTATAAGCAAAAGGATTCTGAAAGCATGGGATTTTATATCTCAAAAGGCATAATTACCAAGCAGTGGCAGGCACAGGGTTTTGCATCAAGAAACGGAGTTCAACCACCCCGCCATCCATCATATTGATTCTCCCACCTTTCACATTCCAGCTGCAGCCATCTTCAGCCATGGAAGCTGTAATAGTTTATCTATTGTTCATGATGGCCATGACGAGAGAATCAGGTGGGAGACTTGCTCTTAGTTTTATTTTCCAAGAATGTGGTGTTTCTCTATATTTTTGAACATTTAAGAGCACAGGTATCAAGTCCATCTACCAATATCTACCAAGCACCTTCTCTGTCTTAGGTTTTGTAGTGAGTTCACTTTCTTGCTGTATATCCATGTTGTCAGCGAACTAAAATTATTTTTCGCTTCCTTTTTGTTGGAAGATGGTGCTTGGTGTGTTTGCAGGCCAGAGTTGGGTGATTCTGCCTTGCAGAAAACACTTGATTATGCCTGCGGGGCTGGAGCTGACTGTGTTCCTATAAACCAAAATGGAGCTTGCTATAATCCCAACACAGTCAAAGCGCACTGCTCTTATGCAGCCAATAGCTACTACCAGAGGAAAGGGCAAGTATCACAGGCCTGCGATTTTGCGGGGACTGCCACTCTTACTCCACAAGATCCAAGTGAGTATTCGTTTTCATCATTTTCTAATTTCTTGTCCATTATTTGTGATTTCTAGAGAGAAATTAAGAGCAGATCACTTGTTGATATGTTCTTTTGTTTTCTGGTATCTTTTTTGTTTGTTTGCAGGTGCAAATGGCTGCAATTACCCTGCTTCTCCAAGGTAAAATAGTTTATATGATTAGCATCTTTGTTTCATCATGTGGTAAAAAAAAATGGGACTATTTTTCTCCACCTTTTGTGCTTTATTGAGATGATGGAGAAGGGAATAAAGATTGTTTCCACCCCGAACAAGCTGATAAGATTTTTTTTTTCATCTGGTGGTGAGGCTATGAGAGGGAATCTGATTCTTTTTTCCACCTAAAATAAATTGTTCTCTTACAAGATTCTCGTCCCTTCTATACCAGCTTTCACTACACATAATTCACGGCACATGCTCTAATTTTGCTTGATAGGGTGTTCCCCTCCCAGAAAAAAATCTTTTCATGCTCTTTGCACTAATTGAATGTGCGTGATGTGACGTCTCTGCATTTCATTTTCCTGGGCATTTACCTAAAATACATAATTGCAGCAGTACCTTCAATGCGGTAGCTTGATCTTGTTCCGAAGATGCCCTAAGCTAGGAACTTGCATCAGTTTTAATTCAATTTGAAATGAACTCAAATTATTCAAATTGATTCATGTGCCTGATTTTTGACTCTTAAGACTTTTGAGCCGGTCCCGACTTTGGTTTGCTTTGATTCGGGATGGCTCAATTCATGACTGTACATAAACTATTTCTAATATTATTTTTTTTTTCTGATTTTTATCTTTATTTTATTATATAGTTTTTATTATATACGCTTCATAAAATGTAAAACGTAACCTTGTAGGTTTTGTCTGGGATTAATTTGAGTTATTTTGCGTTGGCTGATATTCATCCTTGATTAAGATTATAGACATTGCAGAGACAGAACCGGTCCCTTTTTTGAGGGTGGAAAACTTTCTTCTAGACCCAACATTAGTGGGGTTAGGGCAATGAAAGACAGTGATATTTCAGGAGTGGAAAACTGATATTTCAGAAGGTACAAATAGCCAAATTTCCTCCCATATAAGTAAAAAGTCTGAATTCGTGGGGAGTCAATTGCCTCCCAGGACTCTACGTGTGGTTCTTGGTAATATGAGTTAATTTTGAGTCTTATCAAAGAATGAGTTCAATTTGATTTGGAATTTATATGTTTCAATTCAAGACCATTCAACTTCAAAGTCGTATTTTTGATAAGAGGTTGAGGCAACTCGAATTTTACATCTTGAGAGTCAGCCAAGCCATCGTCATTTTGAACTTGCTCCATTCCTGCACCAAAAATAATTTGAGGCGGTTTTTTTTTTTTATTCTAATGTGCCCTCTTAGTACTTCATCTTCCTAAAGGAACTGCATTATATTGCAACTGTGCTTTCAATGAGCACTTTGGCCTTTCTCTTCAGATGCCGCTCCCAGCAATTCACTTTTAATGTATGGAAAATCTGTTCCCTTCCTCTTTTATTTCACTTCATATTAATCATGTATGGGATTTCCTCACAAAATTTCAAACATTTGTTTTTTTTTTTTTTTTGAATTTTGAGTCATTAACAAACTGCACTTATTATCAAACGAATTATTTGTTGCTGTCTTTCTGTGCTGAGTGTACTCGCTGGAGCTCAATTTTTTTTTTTCATTTCTAGTGCTGCGGGCGGAAGCACTAGCAATAACAGTGGAGCCAATACTGGCGCTGGAACCGGCACGTTTTTTTTTTTTGAATTTTGAGTCATTAACAAACTGCACTTATTATCCAACGAATTATTTTTTGCTGTCTTTCTGTGCTGAGTGTACTCGCTGGAGCTCAATTTTTTTTTTTCATTTCTAGTGCTGCGGGCGGAAGCACTAGCAATAACAGTGGAGCCAATACTGGCGCTGGAACCGGCGCTGGAACCGGCAATGTACTCGCTGGAGCTCAATTTTTTTTTTTTCATTTCTAGTGCTGCGGGCGGAAGCACTAGCAATAACAGTGGAGCCAATACTGGCGCTGGAACCGGCACTGGAACCGGCACTGGCACTGTCACTGGTACCTTGCCATCACCTCCCACCACCTCCAATCCAGGTTCAGCAACTCCAAGCATAACGACGCCAACAAGTCCAGGGGCTGGAGGAGTCATTGGTCCTTCAGGAAACACCTTTTCTACTGATAACAGCTATGGTGACTCCATTCAAACGCAATCAGGTTTCCTTTTTCTGCAAGTTCTCTCTATTCTGGTTATGTTAGGAGATTAATTAGATTCTCTACACGTTTTAGCACAATTCTGTGAATTGTGATGTCTAGAGTACATATATAAGTGATTAAGCTGTGGTTTTTTCTTTCACTCGGTTTTTTTTTTCTTTTTTTTTATTTACCTAGTGGGAAACCAGAAGAAATTTTTGTTACATGTAATTGGGTGGCATTAACATGTTAGTCTGGCTTTTTGTTTGTCTCATCTGCCTTTGTCATGCTTCTTTTTGTTCACTTTCTTTGATAATGTGAAAAATTGTTATGAAATTTCTAATCTTGCTAGTGCATTTGATTTTGGTGGCCACCCACTAGCTGGTAGGAAACAACATTTTCCTTAACATCCTCCGGTGAGGGTGGATCACCCACCAAATGCCCTACGCAAGGAATTTGAAGGCGTCACGATTATCTTAAAGGGCATAGTCAATGTATGATGTTGTCGCCATTACTGTATTGGTGGAGAGAGAGCTTATGATTTAGCCTTGTTACTGCATCACTGCGGGGTGAAAACAGAGGCATCTACCCACTGCTCCAGGTCCAATAGGTATCACTGTTGTTTCTTGTATTATCTCACAATAGCTTTTTTCGCTCAACATGTCTGCCATTTGAAAAAGATATTTTAAGCTAAGGAACTATATGCGTAAATAGATTTAAACACAATTTTAAATTTATACACTACTTTTTTTACGCCATTCATGGCTTTTGTTTGAGTTTAATGAGATAAGTTTTCCGAAAAACTAGCTACATTAAAACTTCTCTGAAGACCATTGATATGAGATATGAAAATGAACAGACCGGATGGATTCTAATATCACTGTTTTTACTTTTACAAGATTTAGTGTTAGGATCTTAGTCTAATAGTTTAAATCTATGACGTTCTTTAGATTCTAAATTCTTCTCAGTAATAGTAGAATCATCAGATTTGGATTTCAAAAATCCATGTTAATTAACAAATTGGAACAAGCTGACTCAGAAGAGCATAGTGACACACGACCTTGTTATAGGCCTCATTATGGACAGTTCTAGTTGGGAGCACAATTTAGCCATTCAATGTCATTCAAATATAAAACTTGTTGAGCCTCAAAATATCATTTGGGTCATGCCCAAGAAATAGAACGTTGATTGGGTGAGAGAAATAAAGAGAAGTAGAACAAAGGGAAGAAAGAGTTAAGTCACAAATAATATTAATTCTCTGGGAATAGATTTTGTAGTCTTTTCTATGAAAATAATCATCTTATTTATAGATCATAGGAATGGTCTAATAAATTACATGATTTTCTCACTTAATGAAAATATTACAATATATTTATGAGTCATTACACATTTACATATTTGCAACCAACTTTGATACTTTTTTGACCCTAGTAATTATCTATGACCCCATTGCATATATGTAATAGTCGTTGACACAATTTCATATTCATAAATATTTGGTTTGATCATTTGACCTTCACTTGGTCAGCAATTATTGTTCGATTGACCACAAGATCCTCAGTTGAATTTTTTGAGGGGATTCATCATGACAACTTATTATTCTCGAGAAGATTTATTCCATTAGGTAGAGGATGCATGATGGCAATCCGATCGTTAGCCTTTCTTCGGATGATGAATCTTCGTAGAAGATTAGGCGAGAGTTTCCCTAAGTGATCATTGATTGATCCACAAGTATGCAGTTGATTAACTTCCAAAAGATAACAAAAAAACTTGACTCAAGTTATTTTAGCGGCTAATGTGCAAAATAAATATGTTATAGAATTTAAAATTTTGATTAATGGTTTATACATTAGGGTACTACGCAAGTATATGTATCGATTCAAGTAATATAGAGTTTTCTTTAAAAAATCTAATATCGAACTCATGTGGAAGAATAAAATTTTTGTGTCACTTAGAAGTATTTGTACTCAACCTATAAACAAAAATTATAGGAGAGTAATATTGAAATGTTTGTAAAGGGTTAAAAGCTAAAGTTTGTTAACTCTAATTTAAAGCTAAAAGTAAATGCACTTTTTTTTAAACTAGTTATGTGTAAAGGAGTCTGATTATTAGAAAAAGTCTTTTCTCTTGTAAACAGATTGTAATCAGTGTATGAATCAAATGTTTAAAGTTAAAAATGAGGTTTTGTGATAAATGGGAGCATGCATGTTTTTTACCCTCTTTCTAGTGCATAAAGAACATTGGTTACTCTAAAGTTACGTTCTTAATTGATGTGGTTATATTGAGTATATTCTAGCCTATCTCATTCCACTGTGCCCTCTCTATTAAGTCTGACCAAGTCTTAGGTTCCGAACTGAAGACCAAATTGATGAAGGTTCTAGCATGTCACTCTAGAATTATCAATTCTACGCCTATCAAAATTTATCTATCTATTTATTTGCACTCCCCATTGGACTTGACTCTCCTCTATCTAAGGTTTAATGCGGTACTCACTAGTTAGGTGAAATCATAGTTCTCCTGCTCATTATGTTTTGCAATGAATTTAAAAATTACAAATGATTACTTTGCAAAATAAATTTAGAACCGGTAAAAATACCATCATAAATTTTGGAATAAAAACAATTTTCAAAACATTTTAATCCTATACATGATTACTTCTTATTTCAAGGAGAAAGATAAGAAAACTACTTATAATTCATAGGGATAACAGAACAAAACATGATATGTATTAAAAATTAAGTTTACACAAACTTAAATAAAAATTCCAGTTACTTATCTTAGACTTCTAAAAAAAATCCTTCTGAAGTTTCTTTGATGTCTTCTTCCTTCAATACACACCAACACAAGACTCTAACTCACACACTCAAAAGACTCACGCAAACACTATAGTCAAAACCAAAAACTCCTACCAACGACTCCACCCCTCCTTCAATGACTCCAAGCCTCCTTTTGGCCGACCATTGACTATTAAATAGAGCTCTCAAAATTATCATGAGTCACTTCAGACATCTCTTCAAAATTTGTACAAATTTAATGTAAAAATGAGGTAACTTCTTCTGGCGCCTAGGCGCCAATCTTCTAGAAGATTGTGCAACTACCTGATGCTTAGGCGCCATGTCAACTTTTGCTCATTTTGACCCTCTTTGTGCTCCGGTTTTGCTATTTTTGCTTCTTAAGCACCATATTTTATACCTATAATAAAAAAACACAATATTTTTCATTAAACAACAATATCCTTAAAAATGAATAAAAAATGTATATATAAAAATAACACATTTTAAGCTGTATAAATTCCCTTAAATTTAAACTTTACTTGTTCTCAAGTAACTCCTATATATATAAAAAAATAAATACTTTAATTTGTGTTAGTGGGTTTTATCAAAGATTACTATACTTTTACTCTATAAATGTGATAGCGAAACTCTAGAAAATTTTTCAGTGACTTAGGATTGAGCTGGGGTATTAGAATATTTTAGTACTTCAGTTAGGAATTCTCATATTTTTATTCTTTTAAAAAATAATTGTAATTTGCCACACTTAGGGATCTTAGAAAAATTAAAATCTAGAATTGTAAAGATTTGACTAATACATTAGAATTTAAGAATAAGTTCAGAAGTGTAGGTTTTTTTCTTTAAGAAATTTCAAGTGAAACTAATTTTTAATTAGACATCTCCTCAAGCTTCTCTTCTCATATTTTTCTTTTTTTTTTCCTTTAATTTTTTATTTTGCTTTTCTTTTTTCTTAGGATAGTTTTGAATCATTTCATTTCATTTATTTTTTTATATGAGGATTACTATATCTGCATAGTCTTTAATAATTTTGAAATTCACTATCCTCTTTCTAAAGTTATAAACTTCTCACATTTTTTAACTTGATAATATGTATTAGTATAAATATGATTTTTATAGAGACTCAAAAATTCTTTGTAAAGTATAAATCCAAGATTTTCAGTGTTTCAAAAATACAATTTTTTTTATTTTGAATATTAAAAGCTCATGTACTTTTATACTAAAACATCTTAACTCTTAAATTACTAAAAAATTTTACTTAAGTTTACTATAACTTTCATAAAATCAAAATTATAGTTTTCTAAAAATAACTTCACATGCCATATGTCATTTAAAATAAATTTTACATATAGTTTTTTGGAGGACAAACAAAATTTTAGTTTTCAAAATTTTTTATCCCTTCCTCAAACTTGAATTTTGAATAGTTTGAACATTACATTACAAAAGAAAAATGAAGAGAGAAAAATTTAGAAGAATAAGGTTCTGTTTGGCGCAGCTGCAACAATTTAACTTCTCAGCTGCAGCTGCCTCAGGAAGCTGCTACGGAGAAGTTGACTACATATTTGGGGCAGCTGTTTCTAAAAAAATGACAATTTTGCCCTTATTTTATATGTTCTACATAACAAGAGTGTGATAGTAAAAAATTTAATACTTTTAAGGCAAGAAATCACCTAAAAATAGTTCAGAATTACAAACACACACCTCACTTTACAATGACTATCTAAAGTGCAAAAAAACTCTAAAACTATTAAAATGAAAATTAATAAGATGATTATATTATTTTTAACATTCTGACGGTACAGATCTCATGTTAGACTTTCATTGATGAATGTTCTTCATTCCTGATCACCGTTGTCAGAGAAATCTGCAAAATTGTTTGCCCAATGGAAGAAGCGACACTGTTTGGTGATGCCCCGAGGGCATTTATAGAATTTTCTTTCGTAGCTGTGCGACCGACGTGACATCAGTTGGGAAGCTTGAATGCCACAGTGGAAGAGCAATCGTCGGGATGTTTCGGAAATCCTTGAGCTCATATTTTCCTAATTGCAACAGAAAAAAAATAACATTCAAATATTATTAATAATAAACCAACTCTAATATTATAGCTACCGTACATAAAATGAATTGATATAAGAAAGAAGTGCCCTGTTGTAATTGAATTCCGAAATAGAGAAATGGGCATTAAATGCTACATAGAAAGGTATCAAGTTCAGGTATTGTGGTTTTAAACTTTCATTTTCTGCACCAACAACCAAAAAAGTATAAATAGAGACATAAAGTAATGTTCCACCAAGTTACAAAATCAACCTAAAGAACAATTGCACTTCAAACAAAATTAATCTTAGCCAAATTTTAATAAACTAGGAATTCTATTAAATAACAAGCAATAAAATATGTAATTCTCCAATCATCTGCTTACTATCGCATTAGTAATAGGTTCTCTCAACGCTGTTATCTCACTTGC